ATGCTTACTGCCCGGGTACTCGCAGCTTGACAGGGAGTTGGTCGACGTGGGGCTCCTCAAGCTACATAGTCGCGATTAAGTACGGAATTCACGGATAAAATGTGGTCTTCTGTTCATAAACTTGCATTGATATGACTTCAACAAAGCCACTTTCATTCCAAATCTGACCAATCATTAGGACATTGAGTCCAGCCACGTTTCAGTACTGTTTGGCCCGTCCTGACACGTTTCAATACCCTGTCTCGTTCAGGCCCGCCTCAGCGCCGTCCTGTCCGTGGTTGGAGCCCTTCATCGCAGTAGAGGCCTCTTGACCCATCACGCTTCTTTCTTCCTACGATAATTTTCCAAAACTAACAAAAATACGCTCAAAACAACAGCAAACTGCAAACCTTATGTCTTCGAAAATATGGCCTTTCACGCTCACTGAAGTTCATGGAGCCCAACTTACGGTGCTATCTGCTCCTTCTAAATAAGCGCCAGGCTCTGTCTGCGTCGTCTGGACACACCACAGGGCCGCCTGCGCCGTCCAGACGCGGTTCGGTGCTGTTGGCCGGCATCAGCCAGCGGCTCGCCTGTTTATTGGCCCACGGCGTCTGAGTTAGCCCGTCGGCGGCCGGCCGCGATGCCAAATCGGACCCGCTCCGATGGCTGGGTGGCCGGCCGATAACCAGGCCGGAAGCGGCCACGCTGTCTGCTGTCCCGCGCGCCTGCCCAACATCCGACATCCGACCAACGGACCAGCGGACGGGCGGACAAGAGAATGACAGCGGACGGGTGGACGGACGGACGGACGGACGGACGGACGGACGGACGGACGGACGGAAGGACACAGGCTGACAGAGCACTGGCAAAACGGAAGGGCGGAAAGCGTGGCGAGTGGGCGTGGTAACACACGGATGGACGAACAAAGAACGGACTGAGGACGGACGGACGGACGGACGGACGTATGGACAGTCCGAGGCCAAATGACGCGCTGCGGGAAAGCTCTTCTCCTCTCACCCCTCTCACTTTTGATCGCGTGTCCGCTGCCACCTCGGTCGCGGGCAGCCGGTTTAGTATTCTTCCAGGAAGAGGCTCATCTCCAATAAATTCGAAGCCAGTTACCCGAAGAGGACAATATTATGACCGGACAACAGTTTGGACATCGTCAAGCGTAACCCGAGCGGTCTTCGCCCCTCTGGATCTGCCTCGGGGGAACAGCAAACTCTGTCTTAATCCCATAAAGTATACTAAACTCTCTCCAGAGCCCTGGTGGCGTTTTACAGCAATCAGAGGGAGCCGTTTGACAGCAATGGTGCAAATTTTTATTGTAGGATGGCGAAATATTGTCACATTGGAAAGATTGAGGATGGGATCGGGGGTTGAAAATAAAAGAACGCGGCAACTGTGAAAGTTGTAGACCAGAGGGAAACGGCCGGAAACGAGATACGGCTAGGACCACCGGCGCAGGGGCACCAGTAAGAATGCTAAGCTGGTTGAGTTTTCGTGCGGTTGCCGACGATGTCGAATAGCCACTGCTTAGCAGCAGATGCGTAGATATGAACTTGAAGCCGAGGAGCGAGGCGGTACCGGTCGTCTCGGCTTACTGCACTTCCATATTAGATGGTACGAGTCTTGTACTTGATGTAATCAGACAAGTCCTCCTCAGGACGATTAAGTATGTGTCTTATGTGTATGGCCGTATTTTAAAGTGCATTTAATTTTGTTGTCCCCAGCTTTCTTTTCCCCTTTCAATCCTTTGATTTCTTTTTCCCCCGCCTATTTATCACCCAGCCAATGGTAAAGATGAGTACCAGAATGGTTGTGATATAAACATATAAAAGGAAAAGACAATCCAAACGGATGTAAATGCCCTTCTGATTTACACGTAGCCGTAAATAGGTTAGCTCAGGAGAACGACGGCGTGAAAAATATAACGCTTCGTTCCATTTTCGTCTCCCATCACAGACACTGGTTTAAATGAGTGACTTATTAAATTACCTCTTTTCTACTTGTAAACAATGACGCTCTAATTGCCTTCACACTCGTCTGAACACAAGTAGTTTTTCCTCTTTGTTTCTAAATTTGATAATTGAATGAATTTGGGTAATCTAAATAAAGCGCGGTGTGAAAGAACGCGCATTGGCCGCAACGACTCAAAAGGAGAGCAGTCTGCTTTTGCCTGGATGAGCCTCTTGTTTGAACGGCCATTGTACTCGGCACAACGTTCAGAACACACCAGACACGCACCGTACTGGTGCGGGGCGTTCGGACCGGAAATATGGTTGAATTTGCTACAGCTTTTAAATATCTATGATTCTTGACGTTTGCGAGGTTAAACGTTGCTCCAAAACGTACAAGAAGTTTCCGGAAACTCCGGGAGATCATGCAGAGAATGACATAGCGCGTGGCTGAAATAGAACCTCTGTTTTCTGATCAATCCTTTCACTGTCCTTTTGTCGTGTCGGCTGGTTTAAATGTCTAAAGATCTTTAAAAATGCGTTGACTTTGGATGGATATTGACCATGGCTAAGATACCAACGACCCTCCTTCAAGTATGTGTGGCAATTCCTGCTAAATGGAATTGCTTTATGTAATCCACCAAAAACGTGCAGACAAGATCTTTACTGAACTTTGATTATTGAGTAGCGCATAAACAGGATTGGTCCTTACGTTCAAAGTTTTCTCGTAGGTTGCACCGCAGTATTTCGCATTGCCACCAGTTGAGATGCCCACACCTGGTACATCCGGTCTGGCATATGCTGGTATGTGCTCATACCTGGAAACAATATACCAATATACCCTAACAATCACCTTTATTTAGACACCAAGTCACCATGCTATCTAGTGTCCCAAATCAAAATCATGCTAAGTGCCAATTAAGTGCGCATTATGGTTTACTTGCTGATTTTGACACATGCTCAAATCGCCGCGGTCCAAACAGGCCACGAAAACCCGCAGAGGCCAGCGCATCTGCAAAAACGAGCGCTTCCACAGGTACGTTTTCCTTGATATAAATTGAAAGGTTTTCAGCTTCTGATTTTTCGACGTCATGGAATATTTTTCAGTGCTGAGTTGTTGAATTTTGATATACCAGGAAGTACTTGCTAAACGACGTTATAGAACTAATGTTGGTGATATTTTCAATGCACGATGAACCAAGCTGTACTTATGATCACGCGTCTGAACATAAGCATGGCTTGAAATGACACCGAAGCAGAACTGAGCCCAGGAACAGTCAAGACGCGGTGGCATCCATATCTGTGAGCGCTTCTGCCCCCACACCCCTGGAAATCATTCAGGGCTCAGCCAGGTTTTCCTGTCCCGTCCCCTGACGGTCAGTGGGGATTGTCGCGCCTGTCCGTGGCGTCGCACTCTTCGGCCGCTGCGCCGCACGACACACGAACATAGCGGGACAGCCTAACCACTCTTCCCCAAGTCCATAGAGGGCGCGTCCGTGCAGCGCGAAAGTCGCGAAGGCGCTCAGGAACGCGGCGCGCTCATCGCTGATAGCACCACTCCGACTGGTCGCAGGCATCCTGCAGCGAAACAGGCAGCGAATGTGCGTAGCGCCACCGGCGACGCATCGTCAGCTGAATGTGGCATTGATTGACCAGGAGAGGGGCGTTTTGTTTTGGCTGTCTGCGCGTTGTAATTGTGTCAACAGGACCGTGTTTACATTATCAATATTGTGTACAAAACAACGTGTACTTTCGGGATGGGGGCTGCACGAGGCGTTCGATATCGAGGCCGCCATGACAATACTGAGGGGAGCGACAGAGGGACAGGGAATGGAAATAAAGAGAAAGAGCGAGAGAGCGGAGCGGCAGGGAAGCACAGGAGACCAGAAGGACTAGAAAGGAGCAAAATGTCAGACGATGAGGTGGGAGCGGGAAGGGAGGCCACACAGATTGACGCGGGTAAAAGGATGCACTGAGTCGTGATTTGCCACTGGATGAATGAACATGCGGCTTTCGAATATGTTTTGTACAATTGTAAAAGCACACGGAACGTGGAATTTTGCAGTGTTCTTGCGTATCAGTCATGTTGTGGCCTCGCTCGCCACCCAGCCCGGCTGGCTTCTATTATTCAGATAGGCTCGTGCAATTCTCACCATGATGCAATAGTAAACACACTGTGTTTGCAGAGTCTGCGGCGCATGGGGTCCAGACAAAAATTCCCGTGTTTATGCAGGAGATTTAGGCCCTCTGCATCGCAAATGAAATCGAATTTAGAGGCGGAGCGTTGCTTACACTAGGGATGAGTTGTTTGGCCAGCAGCTGTAAGCAAAACAAAACTGTATTGACTCAGAGCCTCGGCAGAAGGCACCAATAGACGCGGAGCACTGCACGCCAGTAAAATGTCTCCTCTGTCGAATTTGAAAGTGTCTCGTGTTCCTGGAAAGCTTAACAACTGGAATATTCCATTCATGATTAACTCGAGAGATAAATGCGTTCATCACAGCGTTGAACCGACGCGCCCCCAAAACTCCAATAATATATCAAGCAGCAACCGAAAGAGTAGAATTATAACCCTGTTGTGTGCGGTCAAGTTGACTGTCGGCGGGAAGCTGTGAATTGTTTTTCATTACATTGTCGTACCAGTTCTCACAATGAGCACCGCTGCTTAGGTCTCTGAAACGTTTCGAATCAGAATACATGAATGCTTACCAACATATGCTTGCGTTGGTCATATCAAGTCTAATATAAGTGCATTCAGTCTTATCAATCCTGATAAGAGTGCATTCCAAGTCCACGGCTAGAGTGTCATTCACGCATGCCACTCATACACGATTTCAAAGTGATGAAGATTGGGAGCAGTATCAGACCCAACAGACCGCAAAAATAATGAAACAGACATAGGCAGCTACGAACTAAAAACACCGACCATTTCAAAATAGATGACAGCATACGAATCCTAATCCTTGTCCCATTTAGGCAAATCCGGTCATCATTCTGCGTCATCAGTTTCCCCCCGTCCCATTGAGTAGCAGCACAGGGCAAATAAACATTATCACCAACCTGTATGGATCGGATGCAGACATATTCGTCAGGATAGCAGTGTAATCAAGCTTGATGTGCAGTGCCCTTAGGAGCTCAGCATATATGTGTGAATTTTATTGCATACACCAATGACCAGTTCAAACCTTGGAAATTGCTACCTTGCCAAATGTACAAAAAGACAAAGAAACAATAAAAACCCATGCGCAAATTCACCTAGCAAAATAAGGGTTTATCTCAAATGTGATTGGTGAGAGGAGCTCTACCTCAAGAGCCGTAGTCATTTTTGATAACTCGGTTAAGTGCTCGATTTTTTTATAGGATTGTGCTTGAATGCCACATACACTTCTGCCAGGATGAAGTCTAACAGCAAACAAGCGTTTAAAAACAATGCTCCCGCCTGAAGGCAAAAAGGGCTGAGCGTCATTAGGTAAAATAACACTTAGGCTTTCTCGCCTTTGAACGGCAGTGAGTAAGAAACCTAGAAAAAATGGTGCGAAAATAGCCGATTATTTTACACCACGCTGAAGTTCATGGAATCACCATCATGTTTCAAGACCGTCATGTGGCCAGTACACATGGGAAGAAATCTTCTCCGCATCAAGGAAGAAAATTTTTCACCTCATGTTTGACTAATCACAAAATCGTACTCTTCTGGCATATTACGAATGGTGTGTAACGAAGGAGGCCCCTAAAAATGTCTGACACGTATGAAAAAAATAGGAGCTTTATCAAACTGGAGCGTCTAATGAACTAAACGAGCCTTGAGTATTGGGTAAGTCGATCTCGCCCTGTCACTCACCCTGCCCACCACCCCTTCTCGTACCACCAAACCAGGCTGTCGGAGGCGATACAATCTGATGTTTGGTGCACGATTCTAAAACAAGATCTTCAATTTGTTTTTGTCATACGACTCCCTTCAAATGCCAAGCATGATACAAAGCCCCCTTAAAGAGATACAGCATGTTCTCCGCGATGACTCAACGACTGCCACTCGCTTTCTCCTCATCTCTTACCATCCATAACGTCAATAGCCAGAGCAACGGCGCGCAACGACGCGGTCCCCACACGCTTGCTTAACAGACGTGTTGTGTTGGTTGCTAATATTTTATCATTTGATCGCTCAGGAAAGACAGTCATAGCGCCATCAGCATCCTAGCTGTGCCGACATTTAGGCTGGCAAATGGCTGGAGGCAGGCGAGGACGGCACCAGCGCCCGTCGCCTGCCCATGGCGGATGAGAATTACAAATACCGAGACTGGGTCGTGAAGAACTGCAACTTTTTGTTAGCAGTCTCCGGGTGGGTTCAACTATACCAATCAAAACATCACTGGTCTATTGATGGGTGGGATGATATTCGCGGACAGAGACCTTCTCATGCTCCCATCCACCCATCCCTGCTCCCCGTGCCTCCGCGAATCCAGCAGCATCAGTGAGAGTCGTCCCCGAGTTTGTCTAAGTGGAAAGTGGATGAAGCTTTGGACGACCAGGACAGGCTGGTCGGCGCTGTCGGGCGACAGTGCCCTCCACCGAGCCATGGTATCTCGCACAACTACCTCACATCCCAGTAACCACCCGGTACTGATGCGCGGCCCAGTCAGCCAGACTTCGGCCGAAACTCTGAACGGCTGCGGCATTAAACAATTATGGTGCCTCAAACGTATACTGCTAGTTTACAACTGATTTTATTTGTATGGCACGATGAGCGCGTGCACTACAGGGCATTGCAATCACATGCACGGGAAAATTGCGTCGTGCTTCAGTCAAATGCTGAGCACTGCTAGATGCGTCAGGACGCGATAGCAAACAAAAGCTCAGTGAGTCAACTCAGTGACATAAAATCCCAGAATCGTGTCTTCACCTGCATCTAAGACGTTTTTATTTGAAAGGAATGTGCTATGAGTCGACGACAAGTAGTTTTATTGCGTTGACAAGGCGTTCATGAATGGCAAGTCGAGGAGTGCGCAGCACCGCTTCCGAAAACAAATACATAAGTTTCGTTCTATATGAGCACAAGGCTGCCGAGCAGTCATTTAGTTGGGCAAGAGGGGCTTCAATCAAGTTCGCGCCACGAAGAGTCGCATAGAAAGAAGATAACAACCATTGTCAGACACCCGCAGATACACCACGACTGTCATGGCTTCCACAACATATCGGCAGGTCAGGTGACATGTCATTTGAAGTCGGGACCGTTGCATCGTCTTCACTTTAGCCAATCACATGACACCAAACAATGCAGGACTACCCAGTGGTAAATGTACAGCTGAGACATTGATTTCCAGGTGAAACCACGGGCTGTTTGTTGCGCACGCCGAGTATCGTTTTTACGCGGCTCCGGACAATAATCTATAGCGAAGCCGACCACCGCTGTCGACAATATGACAGAGTGGCAGCTTGACTAGGCGAACCCAAACAGTCGTTCGATGCGACGAACGGCGCAACGTATCATTTTCCAAATTCGAATCACCTTGCAAACGCTGCGACGCGCCGTGGTCGGGAAGAATCAATAGGAGCCGAGGTGCAGCACGCTATTTCAAACAGCATGTCTGGTGATCAGCCAGGTAGTGTGACAAAATATCTCGGTATCTGCGACAATTTTTGCATCGGAAAACCCTTTGTGCGTTAGTACACGGCTTATAACGACACACGAAGTGCGTTGATTATGGTAGCGCAACTTGATTATGACGACGCAGCTTGATCATGATGATGCCATTTGGACAGTGTTGGTCTCCTTCTGAGTTTGGTGCACGTCCTCAACAATGTCAGAGCGATGCTCTATCATGGACACCAGGGCATCTGATCGCGCTATAAGAGATGATCGCAAGCGAGGAGTCGGATAGGTAGCTCCTGCAGTGTCTACGGGCCGTGTCAGTTCCGGTCCAGACAGGAGGGCTGCGCTAAAATATCCCAAGCATCTATATCACGGCAATGGGGCTTTTGTTGGTTTCACATTAGCACTGCCTATTGAGTGCCTGAGCATGACCGTACTGTAGCCGAATCAGAAATCGGACCTACAAACTACGGAATTCAACGCGCCATTTGATACATTTAACTTCGACGGCTTCAGGAGCTGTTATTAATTGAAACAGAGCTCACCACGCCCCACATTGCGTAAGATGTACAGCTCCGATTCAGTGGTCCGGTATCCCCGCGGGCCCCTCCGACACGTGTACTTACCACCGATTCGTGTCCCTCCACGCCGTTGGACGCGCGACCACGCGGCGTGCTAAGATTGATAGCCGACGACTGATGCGTCTCGTCCCTCTCCTCAGCTTCCATCACTGAACCATCGTCCTGCAACAGGGCGGCTGCGTCAGTCCCACCGCTTCCATCACTAAACCATCGTCCCGCAATAGGGCGGCTGCGTCAGTCCCACCGCCATCACTGAACCATCGTCCTGCGATAGGGCGGCTGCGTTAGTCCCACCGCTCCCATCACTGAACCATCGTCCTGCAATAGGGCGGCTGCGTCAGTCCCACCGCCTCCAGCTCCGAACCACGATCCCTCCACCGAACGCCGTGTCCATCGCTGAATCACCGTCTCGTGACAGAATCACGCTGTATCAGTCTCGTCTCTTCCATACCTGAGCTTCACTTCCATCGCTGAACCATTGCCGCCCACCAGCACGACCCCAATTAATCATCGATTTTAATCCTGACATCATCTGAAGCCGTCATAAACGTAACCAGACATTAGGCCAAGACAGCACATAGTACACAGCATCGTCTATCAAACACCGGGATGGTGACGACCTATGAGGTGCCTACAAAAGTGGCGGACCGTGCTGCTCCTGCCGTTTGCAGCGCTCCCACGTGTCTGCTCCCTACACCTGCGTTTAAGAGAGGTTCTCTGCCGATGCCGGTCGCAGATACGGCCTCCACCATGTCGTCTCCGGTCGGCCCTCGTAAAAATCCCCACGGCCGCTCCGGAAATTAAGGCGAAAAATCTGCCCATTAATTGGGCGCGCTCGAAATGGGTGCGCCCTCGAACGGCGTGCCCGGAAGAGGGCGTTGCCCTGGCAAGAGGTGCGGCAGGTGAGTCGTCGACCTGGTCCGCTGCAAGCCCCGGCGGCCGCCCAGAGCTGCAACCGGGCCAGAGGAGCTACACTGATTGTCGGCCATCTCACAGCTCTGGCGGACTCGCTGATGAAAAATTAACAGCATGCAAATGGCGCGCTTAACAATCTGGGCTATTTAAAAATTCACGATAAACTTTCCAGAATGTGCATGTTCAGAAACCGTTCCGGATGCCTAGCCGTGGCGTTAATGGGCTGCTGCTAAAATATGGCAGCTCCTCCAGCGTCTGTAATTTCCTTTTTTGACTCATTAGCGGCGATACCAAACAGGAAGGCCATTACACGAGCCGGCGGACTATTTCATTTTGGGTTCCTCCCGCCTGCGGTGGCGGCGGAAAACTTGGCCGGACCTGGTCGGCGGCGCCGAGGTGGACGTCGGAAGACCGGCTCGATTCATCTCGGTTATCGGCGCACGGTTAATTTCTCACGCCGATTCGCGTATCATTCGTTTCACAAATCGATCTTTTTGTGCCGCATCAGCATCTCCCGCTTTTCAACGGTTACCTTTCCGACCATTTCTCAGCGTTTTTGGCGTTTAGATAAATTGGCGGCGTCCACGGCGCGGCCGCGACAAATAAAGACCTCTCGGCGGACTCACGTTAAGCGTCTTTTTGCAGTCGATTGTCTCCGCAGATACCGTGATGTATTAAGATTTTTGCTCGAGCCAGCCGCAGACAGCGCGAAGTGCGATTGGTTGGAAACGGCGGGAAATGGACACGATGGTCGGAGACCGCGATGACGCCATCCCAAGAATAAGGGCATCTGGCGGCATGTTCTTGACGCGCACGACAATGCGCAGGCATAGTTCATTGATGGTGTCCTAATTTTCCTTCGTGTAGTGCATGCCATCACATGTGCATTTGATAGATTTTTGTCAACGGAAATATGTCTCATGAGCACATTTTTTTGCTCATTGGATAATGTAATATAAACAATTTACCTGCGGATGATAGCTGTGAGAAATAATGTGTGTCGTTTTCCAATCAACTTTGTACGCATTCCATCTTCATCGATGTGACGGGGTGGGGAATTAAAGAAGCCGCATGATGGGTTCCCGATATTACATTACTATATATATATATATATATATATATATATATATATATATATACATATTTATTTATTTATTTATCTATAAAGCTGGTTACTGATCACATGAAATGGATTTGGTAATCTTAAGCAAGCCACCAGGGATTCAGACGTAATTTTTCAGCATACCTGCTGGCAGGTAAGCTGAGGGCGGATAACACATTCGCTTTTACATCCATTTCTTGATGAAAAGTGTGCCGCTCTTTCAAGATAGAAAATTTAACGCGCGCATTACGCACAGCGTGCGCGGAGTGAGCGAGTGGTGATTAGCAGTTAGTGAGCACCAATAGGGGGATACACAGCGTGCCGTGCTGCACTCGCCACGTCCCTCGTCAGGCCCATCGTCACGCCCCTCGTCACGTCCCTCGTCACGTCCCTCGTCAGGCCTATCGTCACGTCCCTCGCCACGTCCCTCGTCACGCCCCTCGTCACGTCCCTCGTCACGTCCCTCGTCGCGTCCGGCGCCGGCGCCAGCGCCGCACCGGCGCCGCTCCAGAAGCCGCCACTCAGCGAAACACCCCTCCAGTCAGACGACGCTCGGTCGTCATTTTTAATCCCACCGCCTCGATCCAATTTGGTGTGCTCGACAACGGGACAATTAAGCGCTCCTCTGAAGATCGCGGCCGCGCGGGCAACGAACGCCGCCAATCGACGCACATTTGTCGCACAGATGCCCGACTGTTTTCTTTGGGCGTTGCTTCTCTAATCCATTCAAGCTTTTTTCCATTAAATGTAAATTTTTAAAAGTTTGCACAGCTATTTGCATCTAGTGTAGCTCTAATTAGTTAGAAGAGATATCGTGTATGAAATGCAAATACTTCAGCACCATTGGAGCGTTTAGGCGGAGAACAGGAAAAAATGGCACCACGTTTGTCTCGGGGCCTTTTAGCCAGCGTGAAAATTAACATAAGCTTAAGCAGCATTTAAGACTGGGACTGTTTTTCAGGCAGCAAGATTTAAACAAAAGGAGCGTCTGTTAATCTCTCTTTTTCTAGTACCAGCCACTGAGGGACAATGGATCTAAGATTGACAAAGAAGAGACCGAGCCAAAGGGGCATCGTCACCCTCTAGGAAAAGAACTTCTCCTCTCAAGCAAAAACACATTTCATCTCTCTTTTATGCAAATCAGACGCTAACTAATTTGAATTGCACGACGGGCAGCGAAATTAATGCTACAAAGCCCTCCACCAATACCCAATAATAAGCGCCGTAATGCCATGTTGGGCTGTCGCAGGAGCGGAGGCGGCGGCCGCACGCCTTCCCGCATACGGCCGGCCTCATTCTCTGGCCGTGTTTTATGCTCGCGTCTAACAAGGCAGGCGACAGCACCACGGGCACCGGTACGGCAAACGGGGGGTTAGGAGCGCGGTGAGTCACGCAGAAGACGCCTAGCCGTTCGTGTTCGCCTTGTTTTGCGTCAAAGGGAGTGATCCTCGCTATGTTTTGTTTTAACTCTGATCGCTCCATGGTTGGGGGTCAAAATGTAGGTCGAAAAT